GGATCTGAGCAGAGTCTTCCATCATCTCTCGGACCAACTCCTTCTTTTCTTGCTCGGCCTTTGCCGAGAGCTCCTGAGTAAGACTCTTCTCCTGGGTCACCAGGCGTTCCTTAACGTGTGCCAAGGATTTCTCCAAGGTGTCGTATGAGGACATTTTTTGGCGAAGAGGTCTCAGCTCGGCCTTGAGATTGTTGATGGTCGCCTCCAACTCATTATTTTTCTTCTGGGCCGCCTCCAACTGAGCCCGGATAGCAGAAGTAGCCTGCGCCTGATAATAAAGAATATCAGTTGTCAAAATCTCATTTTGGGCAATTTGAAACATTGCCTTATCACAGTCAGAGGCGACCATAGCTTTTGAAGCCTTTACCTCTTTGTTCTTCCTGTCAAGAGGCTTGCGAAGGTCGTTCACTTGGAGCAGGGCCTAAGTAAAAGGGAACAGGCGTCACTTTTCAAACAAAAAACAGGCGTCCTGGAATTTAAATAACCAAAAATATGCTAAGTATACCTCAGCAAGGACCCCTGCAATCCCGTCTAGGTCAAGGGTGCCGACACCCCTGACCGCCTCCCTCTCAGCCGGAGGGACGACTTTGATCATATACTTGGCCACCTCGACCAAGTCTGGCTCCTGAGGGCCGGCTGCATCAAGCATAAACAAACGGGTTAGACCTAGTAAAGAAGGGAGCAAGTCTAAATTCACAAGGACAGCTTCATACCTCTAGGCGGCCTGATTGGAGTTTTAGAAGGAGTGGACGGCTGTTTCTCAGCCGCCACATGTTTCCTGGCAGTACCAGGAGAGCTCGCAACAATCATCCTCCGGGTCTTGGAGTCCGGCTGTTACGAAGAAGAGGTTCTTGGAGTGCCCGTCTGAAAAAAAAAAAAAAACACTCGGTCAGTATATGCATAAATCCAACTCCAAAAAGAGAGTGAAAGGTTCGGAGCTCACCAAGGGCGCCCCCTTGTTGGGGGAGTCGGTTGAGGATTGTTGCATAATAGAGGCTCGCAACATGGCCGCCGCAGTCTTGGAAGCGGTGATCTTGCTTATGGCGTCCGCTACAAAGACAAGATACCAAGTTAATAAAAAGATAAACAGTAACTCATGGAAAAAAAGAGTATTCGACAGGCCGGCTACCTCTTGAACACCGACTGCTAAGGCCACAGGCGGCCAGAAAGTACTCGTCATAGAGCCATTTGAAGCTCGGGACGCAGTGCAGGGGTATTTGCTCTCATACCCCTGTAGTAGAGTCGACCCTCGACTCTACTTTAAAGAGTCCTTTATCTTGGATCTCTTTCTTGGCTTTGGGGGGAACAGGCGGCATGCTGCGGCCGCCTGCAAGAAGAGGCGGATCCCTGTTCCACCTGTTGAAGCACTTGTTCAGCTCTGTGTCTGAACTTTCAATGATAAGGAAGGTGCTTCGCCAATCCTTCCACTTGTTTGCTTTACCTCTTGTCATGAGGTAGCCTCTGTGGCTCGTCAATTGATACCAGCCGGTACCGCCTGCCTTAGGGGTCCGGCTGAGGTAGTTCATGTGGGCAAAAGCCTCGAAGTTTAGCTCCACCCCGTGCAGTTCGCACCCGGCCACATAGCCGAGTACGTTGACCCAGGAGTTTGGGGCTAACTGCCATAACCCCAACTCATACCCATCCAAGATCCGCTGAACAGCCGGATGTAGTGGGAAGCGCAGCCCAGCCCTGATGGCCGCCTCGTAGCAGCCAAAGCAGGCGCTATCATAACTAGTACCAGCCGGCCAGACGACTGTGTCTTCTGGATCCGGCACGAAAACTAAAAAGCCGGGGCCCATTGTGTGGTTCGCAATAAAGCTCCCCACTCTCTCTTGCATGGCCGTGATCCGGCCCCGTGGGACAGTGCAGTAGTAAGGGGTATTTTGCTCTCGGTAAGAGGCGGATGGTTCCGCCCAATTGTCCCCCTTCTCAACTGCGTGAGAAAGCCTCGCCTCTTGTAGGCGGTTGTTTTTCTCTTGTGTCCAGAGAAGCATGACCAGAAGAACTAGACTCGGATTCGTCCTCTGACGAGTCCGAAGAGGACGACTCCTCCCCTCTCCCAGAGGGGCCCGCCTTCTCTCCTTCAAAAGGAGTAGGAGAGAATGTAGACATGTCAACTGTAAAATGGGAAGGGGTCACCTTGAGCCCTCCCTCATAACTGTCGGCTGTCAAGCCGCCTTGGTTCACTTCCACATCTGGCGCCTGGTCAGATGTTTCACTAATCGGCACCCTGTGGGAGGAGCCGTCTGAGTTCGAGATCCTAGCAGTTCTTTTTGTTCTGGCCATCATGTTCTGCATAGACACAGAGACAATCGGACTTTGTATAAAGGGCAAAGATGGATCCGGAAAAGGGCAGGCGGCACTCCTAGTCCTAGATTCAGCCGTCCCCGGTGACCAGCTGATCACTAACCTAGGTCGTGTCGTGTGCTTCCGTGGTGCCATTTAAAAAAAAAATTAAGAGAAAATTAAGAGTAAGAGAACCGACGGTTACCTGAACGAGTGAAGTTGACGGAGTTCTGAAAATCCTGAGTAGCCGGCTTGTCAGAGCAGGCGGTAGGCAGAAAGAGTCCGGAATGTCAGCGCAAGTTCAGGGGTTTGAATGTTCTCTCTAAAAAGTTCTCAAGTGTGAAAATGACTGAAGTCAACACACCCTTATATAGGCAAAGTGAGAAGGCGAAGGGTCACTTCCAAAATTCAAAATTTGGGCGGGAGAATCTCTCGTCCTTTCACCGAGTGACACCTATAGCAGGCCGCCGCCTGTCACGGTGCGACACCTGTCACAGGTTACACGTGACCAGTCACGTGCCACCTGTGAGGGGCAAATGATTAGGGAATTTTTATCCACCAATCAGCATCCGACACGTGGGCCAGCCAGGTTTCGCCACGTGTCCTTCATGTAGGCCAATAGGAGCCTGCCACGTGTCATCAAGAGATTCTTCCTCCTTGGACCAATTGCAATGTGACACGTGTCCACCCATGCCAAATGGGAAAACCGACCAACAAGGCCCAATCATTGTGGGAGGCCCAGTCAGCCTTAGGTTTAACCTAAACCTAGTACTGGCACACATCCCAAGGCATATAAATATGCCCATTAATCCTCATTAAGGGGGATTACGCACATTTAACACTCTCACCTAGAGAGACCCAATTACTTTTATTTCCGCATTAATTACTCCTTAATCAAGTACTAACTTGACCGTCGGAGGCGGATCTCCAATCGTCCGGAGCATCCGTTTGTTTTGCAGGTACAGGCGTCCGGTTCCAGTCTCAGAATTGTAACTCTCCCACAGGACATCAGAAAACCCCGAAACAAATACCACATGATCTTGACCAAATTATTAATAATATTACTAGTCATTGATATTATAAAGTAATAATGAAGTAAAGTAAGAGTTTATATTTTAGAAAAATAGTTTAAGTAGGAAAAAAAAAATTGATCGGATTGGGTAACCATTAAATTTTAAAATGATACCCAATAACCATACCCGACAACAAATTATCAGAACGGATAACCCAAACATTATGGTTATCAGATCGGGTACCATAATTTTCGGAATGGTTACGAATCGGGGTTTTTGGTTTTTCAGGTAGTTTCGCTCAGCCCTAACATATACTTTCCAATGATATTTTATTTGTTTTTTTAACCAAGTTATGAGTCAAAGTTATGATAAAAACAAAAAAACTGTAAATTATAAGGGGGAAACGCTTAGAATTTTTTAATCACCAATGGAATTTCCAAAAATTCTAAGCGTTTCTCTCCTAAAATTTTGAAAAAAGTAGGCGTTTTGCCTCCACCCATTTTTTTTCTTCAAAAAAAAAGGACTTTTAACTACAATGATAAGTCCAATAACCTTGCCCTCAGTTGGTAGTGGTCGGTGGTGGTTTGTAGGGAGGTTAAGGATGTTAGATTGAGTTAGAGGGAAGAAAATTATGGAATACACACAAGGATATGTTTGTCCATTTATGTTAACACCCCTTGTTTTATCCTTTAAAAGTTATCAATTATCTTCAGAGAAGGTATTGGGTGAGGCCTACCGTACGCATAATTATGGTGTGACAGACTTAGCTGATATGTTTCATTTATTGACTGATATCTTTAGAGAAGTTTTGAACTAATATTTTCCGAACTCATATACAAGTATATTCTTACTTTGGTAGTATCAAGAAGTTAAGACGAAGATACTCCTTTCGTCCCTTACTTAGATGCCTACTTTTCTTTTTGGGGTTTCAAACTTTCAAAATTAGATGTCTATTTCGATTTTTAGAATGTACATTTTGACAATATTCCCTCTTTTTGATGAGTTGTCATTAATTTTCTTTTATTTATTTCGTACTTTTGATATCATTTTCCAACATTTTCTCTTTTTATCCATTCAATAATTACCAACGAGTACTTTTCTTTTCTCTGTATCTATCTAACCCCTCATGTAATTTATACTTTCCAATCATAGGAATCTCTAAATTTTTTAATTCCCGTGTATTCTTAAAAGTAGACATCTAATTCAGGGGCGACGAGAGTACTTTTAAGCCAAACACACCCAATCCAACACAACCATTCTAACTAGGGGTGAGCAAAAATTTAGGGTACCCTGACTTGGAATCGGAACCTGTTCGGAATTGCAAGTTCCAGAACCGGAATCTGCTTTACAGGTTCCGGTTCCGGGTAATATAATTGGGAACCTGTTGTAATAGGTTCCGGTTCCGGGTAGTAAACTTTTGGACCCGGAATCTGTAGGATACCCTGTTTGTATAAGTTATCTATAGGGTACATGAAACCAGACTCTATAATTTAAGCCGAAGTATAAAAGCCCTATATTAAAATTATATAAGACTTCACCTACCTCTCTCCCCCTTATTCATTTTAATTCTTACTCTTAAAGGTTTAATTAATGGTATTAATATACTACCTCCGTTATATATTATTTGCAACGATTAGACATTTTCCCTCTCTATTTTATGTCAAATCGTTGCAAACAATATGTAACGGAGGTAGTAAGTATTTGTAATTTTATACGGAGTATTAAATATTCTAGACAAACAAGTAACTATTAAGCTTACTTTGAAAGATGGGGTACCCTGTTTTGGAACCGGAACCTGCATGTTCTGGTTCCGGTTCCCAATTTTTAAGAACCTGTTGAACAAGTTTCGGTTTCGGTTCCGGGTCCTATTTTTAGAAACCTGTTGCAACAGATTTCGATTCCGGGTCTTGAGATTTTTACAGGTACCCTGCTACGCTTATCCCTAATTCTAACCAAAAACATATCACATTGCCAAAACTCTAGCTTTATATAACTTTAAATGCATCGTACCACGTAATAAAAAAAGCAAAACAAAATTCAAATCAACATTAAATGCAATCCATCCATCAAAGAAAGTACACATCAAATAACACTTTATTTATTATACTGTATGATAAAATAAAATTAATAATACACCGACATGCTTTAAATTCACATAATAATCCCATAATCACATAATAATATAAGGTGCAAAAATGTCAAAACTTCAGCCCCGAGTTTCTCGTCATGCAATCCAACACGGAGATACTGACACGACTATGTAAATCTTTCTCTCTCTTCTTCTCTTTCTCCTTTAAATAAGAGTCAGAGTATTTGCTAAAAATCAAATATATTTCCCCAGAAATATTCAACAAATTAATAATAATGAGAATATTTGGGTCAAGCCAGAAAAGAATGTTAGTATTATTACATTCTATAAAATTAATGATTTTATTAATGGGTTTCATTACATTAGTTGGGTTAATACTGCTTAGTATTAAGCTTGTAGATCCTTCTACTGAAGCTGTATTTTCCATTACTTCTTCATCTTCTGCAAATGGGTTTTCAGATTCATCAGCTTTAAATTCAATTTCTGTTAATAATGAAGAAAACCCAGATTTTTATAATCTTTCTTCTTCATCTTTTTCTGTATTATCTCCTCAAAATAATCATGGGGTTGTTGAAACGACGTCGTGTGCTACTGTTGAACAAATGGGTCAGGTTTTTCAGCCTGGTTTTGCTGCTTGGAAAGAGTCTCTTCGTGTTAGGAGATTAATTCATCATCATTTTCAAATCAATGGTAATTTTATCTTCTTTTTATTTTTTTGTTGGAATTTTTAATATTTACTCCGTATGTTATTACTATTGCATTTATTTTTGCGCGTTATGTAGATTGATAAAATTTCGTATTACTTGAAACTATTGCTTGTATTCAATTGTTACATAGAAGTTTGTGTTGTCTTGTTCATTATTGCAAGAGCTATTTCAGTAATGAATGTCATTAATATTGTAAATCTTCCATAATTATGGCGTTGAATGTCATAATCATTGTAAAGCTTCCATGATTAGGGCCGGTGTGGTAATCTATGTTACTTGACTCGGTCACTCGGGTACCATACTCGAGTGTGACACGGGTATGTGTCCAAGTGTTAACGATTTGACATGAGGTAAAATGAAGAGTTCGGGTAACATAGGTATTAATCGATGCGAATATGATAAATGAATTTTGTGCTGCACTGTTGAATGTTCTAAATTAAGAGAATGATTAGGGAATGATAGGTGTAGGGTGCTATTGTTGGACTAAAAGTTCATGTACTATGCCACTTTGTGTTTTACTGTAAATGAGACAATTTTTAGTTTGTATCTATATAATGTCAATTACTGTAGCATACTTAGATGTGGGTAAAATGCAATTTTTCAAAAAGCTTGTGTTGTTGATTTGGAACTTGAGCAAGTTAATTAAACTATATTTTGATTTCAGGTCCTTCAAGAGTTCAGAAGCTCCCTCCTGAGCAATTTTGTCGGCATGGTTTTGTCATAGCTAAAGCATCTGAAGCTGGATTTGGGAATGAAATGTACAAGATATTGACGGCTGCAGCATTAAGCATCTTGTTAAATCGTTCCTTGATCATCGGGCAAACCAGGCATAAATTGGTTCTCTCTCAAGCCTTCGGCTTACATGTTTTAATGTAGTATAGACTTATAGAGCCAATAGAGGAAATTGTACTTTTAATAGCTGGTAGGAGATCTCCTTTGAATCAGTTATGAATCTCGCTTGATTATAGCTGGTAGGAGATCGATCTCTTTGTCGGTTGTTTGCATACTGTTTTTAGTGGTAGGTAGGCTAGGCTATTCTAGGAATTCTGATGAGTTTAATGCATCTATAGCCTACTTGACCGTTTGATAGGAAATTGATATAAATTCATAATTTTTTTGATGACCACTGCTCTGTCTTGATCCAAGTGCTGATTGTACTTCTTTTTTTCAGGGGAATGTATCCTTTTGAGGACTATATTACTTATAGCAATGCCTCATTTACCCTGAAAGAAGTCAAACATTTGTGGAGAAAGAATGGTTGTGTGGCAAAATATGGTCGTCATTTGGTTGTTCGCATTGATGATTTTCAAAAGCCTATGCGTACAGGCATCCTCTGCAGCAACTGGAGGAAGTGGCAGCAGCCTATAATTTGGTAAAATGAAAAACATATCTGTTGTTAGATGTAATTGTGTGCTGATTTAATGCGGCATTGTCTTTTTTATTTTTATTTTTATTTTTATTACAGGTTGCAAAATACAACACATGCTGTTGCAGCTCAGTTTTTCCTGAAGAATGTACATCCTGAGATGAGAAATGCAGCTTACGAGTTGTTTGGAAAGCCAGAGCTCAATTTTAGACCTAATGTTTTTGGAGAGTTGATGCGAGTTCTTATATCTCCTTCCGAGAGTATTGAAGCTGCAGTAAAGTCTGTTCTTCCCAGTGGTGAAGAGCCAGATATCACATTGCACATGCGGATGCTGACAAGCAGGTACTATAAAGAAGCTAGCTTCTCTTTAGAAACCAATATTTCATATTATTATCAGCAAGGATAAGCAATAGTTACAAAGTGACAGTGACTGAGTGACCGCAGGCCTTCATTTGGCAGTATTCTATTAGATGTACTAGGGAAATTTGTTTAGGAGTTTAGGACATACTTATGGCTTTGAGTTCCCTGCATTTCCTTCCTTTTTTATGTAATATGAAATATGTTACCCTGTTCATATATGATAAATTTCTATCACTTCTAACACTTCTAGGGAAAAGTTTGAAGTGATAATAGTTTAACAAATAGTGTAGCTATAAAGTAGTCTGAATTGGTATTAGAATTTCCATCAGAAAACTTCATTCTGTATGCAATGTAGGATATAGACAGACTCAAGAAAGTAAATCACTATACTAACTTTACAATGGAGAAAGGGGCATAGGAGGAAGAGGGGGGTGAGTATGAAGTAGAGGTAGAGGTGATGTCAGAACTCAGAAGCATCATGGCTGCCCAAGGTATATTTTGTGCTGCCATGAGCAAATCTGCGCTTGCCACATGCCCACATGGTTACTGTCAGATACAGATGAACACCGAAATCATAATCAATGTTCTTATGTGAATCACCATCTCATATTACAATCCCTTTAGGCTTAACAGGCAAAGATGATGATGGAAACGTAGCACCTAGCACACTAAAACCCCAAATGAGATCCAGGATAAAAGGAACCAACAATACTTCTTGGCTGGCTAGCTCAGAAAAAGACTGATTACTTAGATACCTATCTCACACAGTAGAGGTTCTAAAACATGACGGGTCTCTCTAAGTTTTGATTGAATTCAAAGAAAGGAACTAGAGGTTTTGCTTAAAATATAGAACTAATATAATTGTGACCTTGTGGAACACCAATATGGCAGATCTTGAACCATGAGATCTTCCTGTTCTTAATGGAAAATTTCAAACCAAGTTGTGCTGGTAACTAGGTTCAGGGTTAAATACTTAAATATGCTGGGAGACACCCCTGTTTCATTGAATCCGAAATGGTAATCATCATTGTCCAACCAGTCAATGTCACATGATCAGTGGAGTACAGGCCTTTAGTTGAATCTTGGTATGGATTTTCCCACTTCAAAGTTTAAATAGATTATAACTCTAGCAAATCCACATTTCAGGCGAAAAAAATAAGGGAAAAAGTAATCGAAACGGGACATGGAAATCAAGATATTAGTTCTGGGACATGGAATATTGATTTCTGAATAAAGTAAATGATCTTATGATGTTTTTCAAATTTGAAAGGCCTTGAGCTAATCATAACTTTCAATTTTGAATGTTCAATGGCTTTTTTGTCCAATTGCCATCATCGAGTTTTCTCACTTTAATGTCTTTGGATCACCAATTAATGAGAGATTTTGTGGATGCATGCAATGTGTAGGTCAATGTGGCCAGTGCAGGCTGCCCTAAGCTGCATCAGAAAAGCCATGGAGAACTTCGAGCAGGTGACAAGACCCAAGGTGGTTGTGGTCTCTGATACCCCGTCTTTCATAAGCACAATCAAACCGAGTCTACAAGAACTTGCTGAGGTATTCAGTTTATTTTGTCTGTATTAAATAGCTATACTATTCACTAGTTGCCTCAATTCCAACACTTCCAACACTTTAGTGTTTTTAGAACATTGATGTTATGAAGTAATATAACATCCTTAAATGGCTAAACCCAAGCTCTAGGAGGAAGATCCACAGGTTCTCTGCATCTTTGCAATAACTTTGAAATTGCCCTACAGGTTCTTCACTTCGATTACAAGCATTTTAGAAGAAATATTTCTCTCGAGGCCAGCAGATCACATGCTTTACCATTCAGGGCCAAGGATTGGGGTCCAGCACCTAGATGGGTTGCATTTGTGGATTTCTTTCTTGCATCGCGAGCAAAGTATGCTGTTGTTTCAGGGGCCAATAGGCGAGTTGGAACTACCTATGCCCAGCTAATTGCAGCTTTAGCTGCAGCTCGTAATCTCGGTACTAAAATTACACTATTTTCTGATCTCATTCTTTCTGTAAAATGTTATGACCCCTGACATTCTACCCCTTTTCTCCCAATTTTCAGATGAAATTTCCAACACAAACCCTAGTTTCTCATTCCTAAGCAGCTTTCATAGCAATATGCTGAGAAATGGATTGACTAATCAGATTGGATGGGGACATGCATGGAACAGGTTTGCTGGCCCATTGAGTTGCCGTGGGCAACCCAAACAATGCGCATACACGCCACTTCTTCCACCAGGTTGGTGGGATGGGATTTGGCAATCTCCGATCACTCGAGACATTCGCAGATTGAAAATGTATGGTATCCGACTGTCTGGCTTGGGGACAATTGATGAAGAACATCTTCAATCTTACTGCAGATTGAAGAAAAATACAGGGGTTAAGGTTCCAGTGTCATCAATGTAGTATACACAAGAGGACATCTAAATTTTGTAAGAATAGGTATTCTCATTTCACCCTCGGTATATATAAAGGCTAATTCCTCTTGCTTACATTCCGTATATTCATTATCGGGTAGGGGAGTCCAGTATTTTAATGTATACTTCAATTTGAAGCCATTATATTTGTAGTACTAGTAGAGAAACCAATCTTCAGCTTCATTTTGTTCAATATTATTACAAATGAATACATGAGCCTCGGCTTTTCAGGTGAATAGAAGAGCTTCGGCCTTAGAAGCCGATCGAGCTTAAGCTTCATGTACAAGAAATTATGGGTGTGTGTGCTCTTTGTAAAAGCATTTAGAAGCATAGAATAAAGTATGCATGTTCTTTTTGAACGTGAAATGCAATGAGCCTGTGAGATTTGGCCCTTTTATAAATTTAATTAATCAAATTAAGATCGCAAATTGCGGTCTACTTAGCTTTGCCCACACGAAAATGCAAAAGATTATGAAGATTTGGGTCTAAATTGCTGGTGAAGTAGCTGTGATTTTTGCTCATTTAGCTCTAAAAGTTACAGATTAGCTCTTATATTGTGCACTCTACTAGTAAACTACGAGTAATACGTATACTATTCTCCAAAGAAAGTGGTTGCTTTATTCAAACTTTAGTTCTTTTTTTCCGGAAAAAAAATGGATTTAATTAATCACAAATGTTGTAAATAAATACTTTAATGATTAATTGTATAAAATAAATATTTTATACTTGCAAAAAACATATGAGTATTTTTTTTTTTGAAACCACATAGAAGTATTTTAAATTACGCTTATTGCTGAAAAAATTTATCAATTGCTGATGTACTTTGTAATTTGTAAAAAAGTGATTAAGTTTGCATGTGATTAAGTTTCTATCGGAGTGGAGTACATAATAACTTTTGTGATTAAGTAGCTTTTACTTTTGTATCATGTATATTATCATAATACATCAAAATTAAATGGTTACTATAACCTTTTTTCTTTTCCTTTTACAAATTTAAAATCTTTACTCCGTATTTATTAAACAAAAATATTAAGAAATCTTTATCACAAGGAAAATTAAAAGAAACGTTAAGGGTGTGTTCAACAGCAGCTTTTGAAGTTGCTTATAGTTTTTTTTTTTTTTTTTTTTTTTTTCTAGTGTTTTGACCCAAATTCAAATTGAACAATAATTGAATTAATATGTAACACACTAATAACTGTAAATTTCAAGTACTTTATACACAGTATACAGCAATTTCTTGAATCAGGTAACTTCATTAAACAAATTCTTGTATAAGTTTAAATAGGCATCATCACAATTATAAGATAAAATATGGAAGACGCAATCTAATTGTAGTATTAAAACTACCAAAGTACTACGTCGAGTTTTGGTAATCAGCATCTTGCAACTACTTTTGACTAAACAGGCCAACTTCTACTTGATGTTGACTTGCTTTGATACATCCAATAAGCCAATAAGGTACATCCTAAACAATTCTTCATGATAATTTTCCTAACCCGTTTGATACTCAAATCAAGATTTTCCTTATTTTCAAATTTTAATTGACAAATAATCATGCATTTTCTGTAATCTATAGCACTTTATTTCAATTTGAATAAACCTTATTATAATTTATTTCTTTTGAATTTATCATATCTACACTTATAAAACTTGAAATAAGTAAAAATAAGATGAATAGTTTACCCATTTCATACTAAAATAAAACTGACAAAACCAAAATGTATCCAACAAAAAAAGGCAAATTATTCCGTTTACTCCATTTTAGAATATTATTTGTCATATTTGACACACTGCTATAAATGGAAGATGCACTACGTCTTTAACTCATCTAACACGTCTTATTAGAGTTTCGTACCCGCACATATCTTACGAGTAATAATATGAAATAAACCCACTAAAACGTTGTTATTATGTTTTGAATATGCCTTATAACTACACTCTCTATACTCCATTGCTATTATTATATTATTAAACTGCACCCCCAAGGCCCCAATCCCAAAAAAATGTTTTAGCTATGTTGAAATAGAGAATATGCCTCTATTCTTTTAAGTTTTTGAGCAGAGTTGCAGGAGAAAGTAGGTTAATACAACACAAAATAATAGAGACTCTCAATCGAAAATAAATTGACTCGAACCTGAACCAGATGCCCATATGGGCCACCCTTCCAAAGAGCCCGAGGCTGGTTGGAAAATGAGACGATGAAATATACAAAACACATACACAAAAAAAAAGAAGGGACACGTGAGAGAGAATAAATATTACAGCATAGCCAGAATATGAAAACACAGAGAATTCTCATTTTTAAGGCATCGCATGTTTTGCCTGATTTCTCAACTCCTCCCTTTTCACCCTGTAACTGCACTCTCTATACTCCTCTGTTTCACTCTCTTTCTCTCTCTTGATTTTTGAATTTTAGTATTTTCTCTTCAATCCCCTTTTCAAAAAGCTAGCAAATTTATTGAATTTACCCAGAAAAAAATCCCATTTCTTGCAAATTCTTGATCACATTTCTTGTATCTGTATTACCCATTAATGCAGAATTGTTTGGGTTTTGATTAATTTCTGAATTCTTGAAATTCTTATTGTAAAACCTCTGAATTTTCGAATAGAAAAGAAGAGGGGTTTAATTATTTGGGGTTAATTTTTTGAGAAATGCTTGATTGGCTTTGTTTTGGGTGGAGGAAGAGGAGGAATTACCAGGAATTTAATGGGGAGAATTTAAAATCTTTTAAAGACCCTGCTGTCCCTGATCGTAATTTGGGTAAGAATTTTTTATCTATGATCATTTATATATTATTTTAATGACGAATTTCAATTAATTTGTTCAATTTGTTGTTGTTTGAATTAATTTAATAATAAGTATTAGCATGATTAAAATTTTGTTTTGTTTTTAATTCAGGTTTTTGAAACGAAATTTTTAGTGTTTATTCAGTCACATTTTAATTCCTTGTCCAATTAAATAACCTGAAATGATAATTGTTGGAAATTTGAATTAATTATCAATTATTTTAATGGTTTAGTTCTAGCGTGCTTGAATAAGAACATGTCTTAATTGTGCCATTTGATGGTAATGAAGTTGGTTAAGACTTTTTTGGTAATACTTAAAACCTTAGTTGTAGAATATGCAATGTTATTTGATTCATTATTATGATTTTGGTTTTAGAAAAGTGATTTTTGATAGCAAAGTGAATGTTGATGTAGTAATTAGGTTGGTTCTTTTATGTTTTCTTTGGATTTTCCGATGACTAAAGTTCGAGTTTAATCGATGATTCGTGTAATCTGCAATCTCATAGGTACAAATTGTTATTCTCCTTGTAAACTCCAATAAGATTATTACTTGACTTCAACAAGTTTGTAGTTCAATCCTTTGGAGATTCACAAACTTTTAAATAAAACGAAGGTTCAGTAAATTACTGAACATCCATTATAAAGTGACAATAAAATGTGCAAAAGTTACACTTAAACGCACAAAAGTTACCCTGATATATATAAGTGTTATATATAAGTGTTATTTATGCTTCATTGATAAATTTGACAAAAGTGACACTAAGTTTGACAAAAGTGACACTAAATCTGACAAAAGTGTACCCGATGTACAGTAAATTACTGAAAACCGGGTGTATACAAAAGTTTTCCTTTGAGATTGGCCTAGATATTACAAGCTTTAATTGGGTGAGACTTGAGAGGCCCATCTTTAGGATGACTTTGACCAATATATGAAATGGTAGATTGTAATACATGAGTTGGGTAACCAAGAATCATTGGTGAAGCTCTATATTTTTTATTGCTTGTTGCGCCAAAATTTGTCTTTCGATTATTGATAGCTATCGCCTATTTGTCTTTCGATTATTGATAGCTATCGCCTATTGGTATCTCACATGGGAATGTGAGCACCCTTACTAATTGAGTTTAATAATGGAATAGTCTTTAAGCACCATAAGTGTCCTAGTTTATGCATTACATTGTTAATCTGTAAGGTATATAATCATCAAAATTTGGCTTGTATCACTTCTTTTAATCACTGGTTTAATTTTTTTTTTCTTGATAAATGTTGCAGAAGCCAATAAACAAGAGCAGAAAGCCGAGGCAGATTCCAAAGAGCAGTCTCTTGCTACAAATGATATAGGAAATGGTCGAAATAAAGCTAGAGTGTTCAACTATCAAGACCTTGCTACAGCAACAAGAAATTTTCACCGAGAAACTTTCCTTGGGGAAGGTGGATTTGGGTCTGTTTACAAGGGAATACTTGAGAGCAACAGTGAGGTATATATATTCCTAGTAAATCGTTTTAGCTCTAATCTCAGGATTACTAGTCTGTATAATGTCCTGAAACTCCTCTTGAATATGCATGATTATTGGCAGGTTATTGCTGTAAAAAAACTCAATCCATCTGGTCTTCAAGGTGAAAAGGAGTTTTTAGTGGAGATTCTCATGCTTTCTCTTCTGCGCCACCCAAATCTTGTAAATATGATTGGTTATTGTGCTGAGGGCACTCAGCGTCTCCTTGTCCTTGAATTTATGCCCATGGGATCCCTTGAAGCTCATCTTCACGGTACTTTTACTGAAAAATCAGTTCATGTGGTTTGTATCTTATTTTTACTTTGAGGTCATATATGGTGCACGCTCTTCTCATCACTTTCTTTTACTATTGGTTAATGTCCTGAATGTGGCCTCTTTGCAGATCTTCCACCTGACAAGGAGCCACTGGACTGGAAGACGAGAATGAAAATTGCAGCTGGTGCAGCTAAAGGAGTGGACTATCTGCATAATGAAGCAAAACCATCTGTTATTTTTAGAGACTTAAAACCATCTAATATTTTGCTGGATAATGATTTCAATCCAAAACTCTCTGATTTTGGGCTTGCAAAATTTGGTCCAGTTGGAGATAATTCTCATGTCTCCACTAGAGTCATGGGTACTCATGGGTATTGTGCTCCGGAGTATTTTTTAACTGGTAAATTAACACCACAGTCGGATACATTCAGTTTCGGGGTGGTCTTGTTGGAGCTTATCAGTGGACGTAAAGCAGTTGAACCAACTCGTCAAGGTGGCAGAACTTCTCTTGTTGATTGGGTACTTTCTTTAACTTGTCCCCCATATATGTATTTTATGTATCTGCCTCATTTGTCTGGTCATCATCTGGTAATCTGTTGGGAGATTTTGGCGCCTTCATAGTTCATATGGCTTTTAAGTGTAGCCTTAGGGGAATGATTTAAAACTAGCTAGAAGACTGGAAAATTTTTATGTCACTTGTCACTTTAAATATGGACTTTGCTTAATCAAATGTTAGTAGATCTCCTTGGTAACTTTATGTAGTATTCACCATCTTCAATGGATGGTAGTTAATTAATGGCATAAATTATTTCCATTTGGCCTTCGGCAGTAATCAGAGAATTTAAGTCGTATGATTGATGCCATTGGTTGTAGGATTATGCTTTTATTATCTTGCTAGCTAACTTAAATAAAGTTTGAAAGAATCTTGTACTATGTGCCTCTAACTTGATCGAGGTCTCAGGCTGGTTATTGTCTCTCACCCTGCCTATGCAATAAAGTCTGATTTCTAGTTTCTTCTGATATATTTCTTTCTATTAGTTGAAAATAACACTTTCACATTTGAGTGGAGGCGCGAATGAAAGAGGTGAAGTTGTCTGAGTTTCAAGGTTTTGATTGTGGTTGCAGGCACGTCCCCTATTGAAAAATCCCAAAAACTATTTGCAGTTAGCAGATCACCGGCTGAAAGGGCAATTCTCTGTGTCTTCGCTGCACAAGGCTGTAGAGGTTGCAGCCATGTGCCTGAGAGAGACATCAACTGCTCGGCCTACCATGCATGAAGTTGCTCTTGCCATGAGCTATCTGACAACTAGGAAGCATGTTCGTACTCGCAGTGAATCTGAAGGAGTTTCTATAGACATTGGGCCTAGCCCTGGTGAAACAGCTAAAACATTGAACCCCGATGTAAATAGAGAGCAGGCTGTAGCAGAGGCCAAATTGTGGGGAGAGAAATGGAGAGAGAAGAGACGACAAAGTACAGGTGGTGGCTCTGATGGTGTAAGCAGGTAGTCATCTTTGATTTATAATCTCAATTCTCAAGCAAGATATCTTCTTTTTAAGTCTTATACTCGTACAAAATACTGAACTCACTTGACTGTAATCTTATCTCTTGCTGAAAATTGCAGTTGGGTTGCACAAATGCACTAGGAATCGTAGAAGTGGCTCAAGTTTGCAGGACGTGGTTGGAGATATTGTTTCTAGAGATATAGTTCATCGTGAATTTGCAATACAGCGATAACCATGGCTAGAGTTGGCATGGGTTTATTAGCAAGTTGGCATATTGTTTTGAAGGGAATTAGGGTGTTAGGAATAGAAAATGATAAACTAGTTTAGCTCAGTTTTATTAAAAAAAAATACATTGAAGGAAACTAGGATTTAGGATAGAATAGCAAATTCCATGCCATTGTCAACTGCAATGCTTACTGATGGATTATAATTTTGTTATAATTTCTGTCCTTGTTGTGCACCGTGCAGGAAACTATTGAATGACCATATATACTTCGTATGAAACTTGATAAAATAACGATAATTTTGATATTTGTAGGTTTGAATCTGATTTTGTTTTTAATGATTTAATAATCAATTATTGGTCAAATTCATATGGAAATGTCACTTGAATCATGTTATTTACGAGTTATGTGAATCAATTATTGGTCAAATTCATCAATTCCTATCTAAAGAATAGATAGGTCATAGACTCATAGGCCTTTATGTTGAAATATGAAGGATATGGGCAGATACAAGATACTCCTAGTTTCAAATCTCATGACCCATCAAGCAAAATACAAAGCATGGATTTAATATTGACCTAAGTATATATAGAAAAAAAAATTTGTTTGAGCAAATGACTATGAGGTAATGAGGTAGTTTATATTGAAATTTTACATTATTAGCTTTCTAGTGAAAGATCTTTAGTACCGGATAATATAAGATTTTGTTTTCAATTTTCATCATTTATGAAAGGAACACGTATATGTGCAAGGGAAAAAAAATATTGTGGATACATTAAAGTGTCTTTTTTATCACTTTTTCGATGGAATCTCTCTCGTTTCATTTTCATAGCTTCTAGCCTTCCATTGTTGCTTGATCTCCTCAATGGTACATACGATGGTGTTGATGGTGATCGAGAAGGGTCGAGGAGAACGAAACGAATAAACACATTTGTTAGGGCAAGAATGGCGGATGCAATAATGATTAAACGCATTAGGGTTATGGTGGATGTTTAACAAGAAAACTACATAACGTTAAAAATTTTGCAAAGAGCCGGAGAGGTGTATGAACGGTGGGACAATTAATAAAGTTTAGCATTGGAAGTTGGGACACATTTTTTGTTTTGCATGTAGATTGATAATGTTATCTAGACCTGACAAACAGGTCATTCGGGTTGGGTTCGGGTCGTTTTCGGGTCAACAATTATTCGAGTCAGGTTTGGGTCAATTCGGGTTTCAAGTCAAATTCTAGTTAATCGAGTCAAGTTCGAGGCGGGTCAGTTCGAGTTAGGCCAGTTCGAATCGAGTCAATTTTCAGAACTAATCTTCGAGTCAAGTTTAGGCCAAGTCAATAGTTCGGTCAAATTCGGGTCGGGTCGCCAAAAATAAATTAACTTACAAAAAATATGGGAAATCAATAATAGTAGTAACTGTTACATAATAATTACTGCGTAGAAACTAAAGTAAAATTCTAAAAAAAAGCACAAAAAAAAGATGTAAGTAGTTATCGTGTCACTTTGGGTCGTGTCGCTTCGGGTTTTGGGCCAATTTTGGGTTGGGTCTGTTCGGGCATCGGGCCACATTTGGGTCAACCCCACTTTGGGTCGGGTCTGGTTAATTCGGTTTGGGTTTGGGTCAATTTCGAGTCACAAATTGGGTTATTCGGGTTGAGTCAGAATTGCCCGGTCTTTTATCATCATTATTTTCAAATAGAACTACTAATAAAATCATGGTCTAAATTTCATTTTACTTGGAAGATATCAAGAGTTGTGACTTGTAATCATGATTCAACATATTCATTTTTTCTTATGCTTTTCAGCTATTGGTTTTTTTTTTCTTATATATATATATATATATATAGAAAAAACTTTTGTATATATATAGAAAAAACTTTTGTTTTTATTTGGGTTTTGAAATAAAAGGTTGAAAATACATTTGACATTAAATAAAAAGTCAATGGTGGTAGTCTTGTTGAATTGTAGCTAATTGACAAGTCAAAGTATAATACAGATTGAGAAAATACTTAAAGTGTTGTTTGGTTGACAAATAAAAATATAGAAATTTAAAATTCCTATAAATTGAAATTGTTTGATTGACAAATTCATGGAAATTTCCACCTCCCACAAAATGAAGGAAGTACCTAGGGGCCCTTACCACTGTAAACCAAACGTGTTACTACAACGTAATTTTTTTTTTTTTTTTAAATAGGGTTTAAAACCATTTCTCTTTATATATATATATATATATATATATATATATATATATATATATATATATATATATATATATATATATATATATATATATATATATATATATATATACTCCTAAAGTTTAGTTACCTGTATTTACAACATTTTTAAGTGTCTAACCCCCTAATATATATATATATACACACTCCTAAAGTTTAGTTACCTGTATTTACAACATTTTTAAGTGTCTAAACCCCTAATTAATCAAATTAATTAGGTGAAAACAATTAATTATATTAGTACTGGAGTTCCTTCCCATTTGAAAAGCTGTCGAAATAGGACCAGACAGAAGTCACGTTATCAAATTAGTTTGAACATCCTGTAAAGTTTCTTCCTTTCTTTCTCATTTTCTCTCTCCTTCACACCACCAAACTCTTCACTCATTCTTGGGAAAACATTTCAGAAAAGCTAATTAAATTATAAAAAAAGATTCTTCCTTTTATTTTTTCTTCAAATTTTATGGGTGTTTGTTTGATCAATTTAAGTATAACCCTTGTTCTTTAACTTTCCGGTGAATCAATTAATTTTTTCGCCGTCGATTTCAGCTTAATTTTTTTTGGTGGGTCTCAAATGGTTCAGCTGTTACTACTTCGCAAAACCCTAGAATAAAGTTTTCATCTTTTTTCTTTTTCTGGGGTTTGAAAAGTTTGCATTTTGGGGAAGAAGGTTGGGTTCACCCCAAAAAAAAATTATTAAAAAAGAAAAAAAAAAAAAAGGAAGGCATGTACGTTGTGCCGCCGCCGTCACAGAAGTCGGATCCGGCATCTGGGTCTACTGATTTAAGGGTTTATCAAACATGGAAAGGCAGTAATGTAAGTTGTTTTTTTATTAAATTTTTTTATATAGATATTTTTAGGTTCTGGGTATTCTTGATTTTCTAGGATTTTTTTTTTCCATTTTAGTGGCTATTGAAGTGTTGAATTTGTTGTTTAATTAGTTTGATATTAATTGGTAGATTTGAATGTAATGTCCATTGGATATTATGGGAATGCTGCTTTTGAATTTGGTATGCTTTATTGTGAATTGAAAATTGGGTGTTTTTGATAATAAGTGCAATAATGTGAGCTAAGTATTTGGTGATTCTGTATCTTTCTAGTTTCTACTAGTAGCTGTTTAGCTGAAGATTGAACTTTGCATTTGATAGTTTGTTGAACTTTGCTGAGCATACTGATAGTGAATGTGGAATATTAATATCTTGATTCAATAAGATCTTTTGTATGAATAAATAACCTCAATGCTTGTTGAATCTATGTGTGTGTCTTGAACTGATGAGATGAGGAGGCCTTTGCAATAGTGAATGATTTTGCTTTGGATGACTAGGAAAGTTAAGTTTTTGCATTGGAGCCACTACTTTATGATGTGACATGGTCCTGTGAGAAGGGGACTAAAATTAATTGGGGTTGGAATGCATTTTCGATTGCCTTCCGCAACTTCATTGATTTTTCCTTTGCGTTGTGGAATTATTGCGGCAATTTTCACATTTTTGCATTCTCTTGATTAGCATTTCATGGTGGTGTTAATGGAGGATAATAACAAACTGTGAACTATTTACAATTGTGTTTATTCTAAATTTTGTATACTATATGAAGTATCTGATAAGAGTGTTCAGTTCATATAATTTATATCATTTTCTTCTCTATTCCTTTTAATTGTCAATTGTTTACCAAAACATACTTCTATGGTACAATGTGACTCTAAGTTGCCTATGGTCATGTTCTCATGTACTGTTTATTTTTAGTCACTAAAGTGATCTTTCTCATGTTTGAAGATAAATAAGTTAATTGAGAAGCAATGCTGTTTGGTCACTAAAGTGATCTTTCTCATGTTTGAAGATAATTAAGTTAATTGGGATGCAATGCTGGATGCTGACGTATACATTCTGATACTTACTCTTTTCATCTCTTGTAGAAGCTGTGTTTATTTTGTGATATCCTCTTTTTCATAGTCTTTGGAATCTGAGTTTACATTTTGTGCATTTTGGTAGTCTTTGGTCTTCTTTCTTGTTTTATTTATGTCGAGTTTTGTTTATATTTTGTTTGATTGTTCTATATTAATCATTCAGATTTTGGAAGATATTTGGGATTTGGAATTGGAATGTTGCTGTAAATTTGACATTGCCTTTTCTGCTCATTAACTATGATTTTTTTTTTTTTTACTTGTTACTCTGCAGAAATTTTTGCTTCAGGGGCAGCTAATATTTGGACCAGATGTGAGGTCATTATTTTTGACCATATTCCTCATCGTTGCCCCGATTGCAGTATTTTGTGTTTTTGTTGCTAGAAAGCTGATGCATGTTTATTCTCATAATTCGGGAATATCAATCTTGGTTGTGGTGGTGGTGGTCACCGTTTATGTGAGTTCTCTATCTTCCTCATTCTCCCTCCTATTTAATGCTGTGGCATTCTATTCATCCTAATTCATGTTTAATTTCTTTTTACTCATAACCAATCACTCAAGATGATTGATTTGTTGGGTTCCTCTTATCCTAACTTTTCATATTTGGAATTGTTACTTTTCGAATTGACATGGCTTGGTTTGTGGCTTGCTCCTTGAGTTAGTTGAACCAGTATTTACAGCATGACCTGTGCTGTCCGTGCCGAAGCTTCATGGAATGAATGATAAATTATACGAAGTATCATGCATGATATGTTAGCTTAGGATATTAATTGCTGAAATGCTTCGAGGCATTGTCAATCGTTGAAGATCCAGAATTTCCCAAATAATCTTGTGGTCAATTCAATTATTTGCTAATACATTTTCTTGTTAATTGTTATAATGCCATAAGTAACTATCTGTACACCTTTTTCTTTCCTTTTCATTTCTTTCTTGTGGTCAATTCAATTATTTGCCAATACATTTACACGCTAATTGTTACTCCGTATAATGCTTTAAGTAGCTTTCTGTTCACCCTTTTCGTTCTTTTACATTCCTTTATAAGAATTGTCTGCATTTGCTTTAATTTGCATCCTTGTTAAAGTGGGCCCCATGCTGTTAAGATGAAGGGATGCATCAAGTTTGTGTTTTTCCTTCAGTTAATTGTTTGGAACAAGTCCCTTTGTACATCAGGTTGTATTGAGTCCTTGTACCTTTTCTTTGCACTTTCTTTGGGTTTAGGCAAGTTAAAACCATGTTGCTTATATGTGCATAACATTGTAAATGGATAAATTCAGTCTGTTAAATCACTTTTGACAAATTCATTCTGTCGGGCCTTATTTGACTAATTGAACGTCCAAGCATTTTTTATACGTGTCTTGTATTATTTTCATTCAGTAGTATGTGAGTTGTAGTGCTTTTGATTTTATGAATGAAATGATATACTAGTTAGTAGGTTCCTTGACTCATGATTGACACAACTACATGCCTACACGTCATAGTCTCAGATTTAGGCTATGTTATAAAAAGTGTAGTTTGCCTGGCCATATCTATGTTGGAGTTTTGATGAATTTACCCCAGCATTTTAGGTGAAATGAAGAGTTTGAGTAAAGTAGCTTGATAAGACACGTGTGGAATTTATGCAGTTTTCCTTTTTTTGCAGCTTGATGTGATTGAGGTAAAATCTAGTAACTTGCTGTTTGGGTCTTTATTGTCCTGAAATTTGAAGATGTTTCTTGTTGGCAGCTTAGGTTATTAAACGTAAAAAAAAAAAAACTAGTTTCAATTTTTAAAAGAACTGCTGCCAGTTTTCCACCAAGCTGAAGATTAAGGTTGTGTAATGTATGACACCATGACGTCATAAGTCGTCACTGCTGTTGACCGAATAATTATTGGTTGTAAGTTTGTTACCATTTGTGGCAAAAACTATCCTTTTTAGCATTTCCAGTCATTAGTTCTTGTTGAAATCTAAAATTTTGTGTTGAATTTTGATCCTATGTTATATTTTTTCAGAAAAAAAAAACAAAAAAACAAAAAAACTGCGGTATGTCAAATTGTTACACTTCTTTTCTTTTTCTCCAGGATTTAGTCCTCCTTTTACTTACTTCTGGAAGAGATCCTGGTATAATACCCCGCAATGCGCACCCTCCAGAACCTGAAGGTTTTGATGGGAGTGCTGAAGGTGGGGGCGCCCAGACACCACAGCTACGATTGCCGCGAATTAAAGAAGTAGAGGTCAATGGAATCCCAGTGAAAATTAAATACTGTGATACTTGCATGCTTTACAGACCTCCTCGCTGCTCTCATTGTTCAATTTGCAACAATTGTGTGGAAAGATTTGATCATCATTGTCCATGGGTTGGGCAATGCATTGGGCTGGTGAGTACTTACTGCTTGGTTACAGGTATTATAGTGGTATCTTCTGCCAATATTGCTGCTATGCATCATCCTTGTGGCTGAGTCATACGTGGGGATGTAGTCTGTGTTTAGAAATATGCATTGTGATGCAAATTATAGTGCTCTTGTTCGTTGGCTTTAAGAATGTTGTATTCTTAGCCTTATGCACTATAAATTTTTATTCGTCTTGTCACTTTTTTTTTTTTTGGTAGCATGACATGCTGTTACAATTTTTTCTCCTGCTGCTGGAATACCTTCACAGTAATAGTTTTTACATCGAAGTCACTTTTCTTAGATATAAAATCTGATATAGACATTCTTGTTGGCATTTCAACGTTTTAGGTCTACTCGCTTTTTATTAAGCTCTTGGATTTTCAACTTATTAAGGAATTTTGGGGTTAACTTTTTGCAATTTTCGAGTGGTATAAGGAATGTTTTGCAGTCTTATAGTGCTGTGCTAAGTGTATGGTTAGTTGACTTCTTATAGATATTTAGTTGTGTGTTAGCATGGTGGAAATTATTGGAAGGCGATAAAAAGAAATATAAAGTGACAATAAAATGGGACAAGCTGGAATTGAAATTATAACACTTTCAACGTGTTCCTTTTTCTAGGAATATTCATATTATCTACTCTGCAGCTCATTATTCTCAGTTGTATGGTGCCTGCTTTCCCGTGGTGATGGAATCTTGAGAAGGTGCATATGCTTACATGATAAGTTACTTTTTGCAGAGAAATTATCGATTCTTCTTCATGTTCGTCTCCACAACTACAATCTTGTGTATATATGTTTTTGCATTTTGCTGGGTCTACATTAAGAGGATCATGGATGCAGAAGAGACGTCAATATGGAAGGCTATGATTAAGACTCCTGCGTCCATTGTTCTCATAGTTTATACATTCATCGCAGTTTGGTTTGTGGGTGGCCTTACGGCCTTCCACTTGTATCTGATAAGTACGAATCAGGTAATGCATTCTATAAATTTAATCTTTCCTTGTTTTTTAGTTGACATATCTCAGTGCTTAGTTCTAATGACTATCGGGATTGCTCCCTCTTATGCCCTCGTTGCAGACAACATATGAAAACTTCAGATATAGATATGATCGGCGGGCTAACCCATACAACAAGGGTGTGGTGGAGAATTTCAAGGAGATATTTTGCACAAGTATTCCCCCATCAAAGAACAACTTCAGGGCCTTGGTGCCTAGGGAGTCTCCTCCATCAGCCCGGCCAATGGGGGCAGGATTTGTCAGCCCAAGCATGGGAAAGGGCACAGATGACATAGAGATAGGCCGAAAGGCAACATGGGGTGGAGAATTTGGGCCAGGCCTTGAATCCGGTGAAGGACAAGTAAGCGACAATGACATCCTTAATATCAAAGATGGAAGATTAGGTGAAGCATCTCCTGAAACAAGGGGTCATGTAGATGAAATTGGGGAGCGTGGTGGACTACACCCTAGACGTTCTAGTTGGGGAAGGCAGAGCGGGAACTGGGAAATGTCACCCGAAGTTCTTGCATTGGCAGCTAGAGTAGGTGGCAGCAGCACTACTGCGATGCCTGCTGGAAATCAGCATACAGACATTAAGTTGTGAATTGCGACAACCCCTGGGGATTAAGTAAAAGTTTTTCATTACATCAGTGTGTTCTATTGTTAGCGGGGTATGTGTTTGGCTGGGGCGTGATTCAGGAAACGTGGTCATCCAATTCAACAGCACGTTTAAATTGTATGTGAATTCGTAGGGCGCAGTTTGTTTTTCCTTAGTGTTGTTGATATTCAGTTGTCGAAAAATGGTGTTTGAAATGATAGATACAGGTGTGAGGTGTGATGTATGAATTCTCTCTTTCCTTCCACCTTTGTGGTCCTTGTATTGTATTCACTTGCTTGTATTCTCAGCCTCACTCGCACTTCTCTTACTTACTCTGCTCCTCCTTTCAATGCAAGTGAAATATCCGCTTCCTTAGAGCCATACAAGAGTTTAATTATGCTTCCAACTTCACGCTTCATAGTTATACACCTCCATACATGTATGCTAATGCTCGTAAATTTGAAAACGAGTTCTAGCATAATAACACCAGTACACTCTTGAATCTTTAATACTTATGCATAACCTTAAACAATAGTCAACGACAACAAGAAATGGGATGTTAATACCAAAAAAAAAAAAAAAGAGTGGCCCTATGATGATTTAAGACAGATGAGAGCATAGATAAAAGAAAACAAAAAGGAAATCAAAGAATTATCCGAGCAAAGATGTACTATATGTTAAACAGACAATAATAAATAAATAAATAAAAGAAAAACAGAAGAAAAGATGTGAGTCATTAAAAATATGAATCAGAAAGTCAATACTTTGGAAGGTACCTGTTTGGTCAACACTTGGACAACCTTTTGTTGGGTAATAACTCATCCACTTAAATAAGACAAAGGAGAGAGAAAGAAACAGACACGTTGATTGAAATTGTCATTAATGCGTAAGCTATGATTTTTATAGCCTAGTAGAAAGGGAAGAGGATGATTTACTTTACTTTATTTTTATTTTTCATAAATTTGAAAATTTTGTTTGGAAAATGTGCTTTTATTTGCATTGGGAAACTCAATGTCTCAATACAAACAATTTCATTCTATGGTTGTTGTAAATTGTAATCTTCCATTCAAAATATTTTCTCTCTTTGACTTTGATTTGATATTAAGTTAAAAATTTCACATGATTTGGTTAGTTTAATGTTTAATCTAATCTTTTGGTTGCTTTTAGATTTTTTATGACATATATACCACATAATTTTACGTGGCATTGGATACTCATTAATTCATTATAATACAAAAAAACCTGTAGCAATATATCATTGTAAATCTTAACACATTAAGTACAGTAGCAATCTAACAAAATTCTACTCGTAATATGATAAACAAAAACAGTTACTATGTCCGTCTCTAAAAATTCTTCCTGTTTTGACCATTTTTACGGGATAATTACCATTCAAACAAAAATAACTTTTTATTGAGAGGTCAGGTTCAGTATAACGTCCAAACATGGGCAAATAATTTTGTTATTGGTCAGCTGTCCTATCTCCTATCCCTCTCTTTCTCTACCCTATTATTATTAACTTGAAGAGTACTTCCAACAATCAATCTCCATGCAAATGTGGGAGTAAAGTCATCTTCATAGAAACAGAATTTAAGAGAGAGAAAAGAAAAGAAAAGAAAAGAAAAAAAATAGCAGGTTTGTTTCATTCTCATACAATTTCACTCCCTTTTTATACTCATTTCTTCACCAGTTTTGTTTTAGCTCATTTACTCTTTCTACTACTGTTGTTAAATGAGTTTGGTAGTAATAGTTATTTATTTCTAAGTACATTCTACTATCTCAATTGTCTTGCATTTATGCATGTCTACTTACTCAACTTTGAATTTCTCTTTTTTTTTTTTTTTTTTTTTTTACAAGGTTTATATAACATAAATACAAGAATCATATAAAAAAAAAAAAAAAAAACATGTTCAAGAATCAACTTCAGGAATTAGCACAAAGAAGCTGCTTCAATCTACCATCTTATTCTTGTAGAAGAGAAGGACCAGATCATGCTCCTAGATTTAAAGCTTCAGTTAATTTTAATGGAGAAGTATTTGAAAGTCCAGGTTATTCACCTACTTTAAGACAAGCTGAACATGCTGCTGCTGAAGTTGCCCTTAATCTACTCTCTTCCAGAGGGTCCAAGTCCCTTACTGCTAGAGTTCTTGTACGCTCCTATTTTTATTTCATTTAATTATGATATGATACGGCCTTTGTTTAGAGTTAGTTGTCATGTTTCGGGTTTTATTTCTTCTTTAAATTAGACTATCAACGTGACAATTAATTCTGAGCGGAGGTGGTGTTATTTAATCCCGTCTTTATTTTTTGTTTTTGTTGTTGGGAAGGATGAGACAGGAGTGTACAAGAACCTTCTGCAAGAAACAGCTCACAAAGCAGGACTTAATCTGCCTGTTTATACAACTATAAGAACAGGACCAGGGCATGTTCCTGTTTTCACTTGTACTGTTGAGCTTGCTGGTATGAGTTTTACTGGTGAATCAGCTAAAACTAAGAAGCAAGCTGAGAAAAATGCTGCTATTTCTGCTTGGTCTTCCTTAAAAACAAGTATGTAGTCTTATAATCTTATGTACAAGTATTATATATATCGACTTTAAGTATTACTCCCTCCGTCCCAAATTAATTGTTATACAAGTCGATGCACGGGTTTTATGATGATTAATTGTTATGTTTGTGACTTTGTGTCATGCAGTGCCAAGTTTGTTTTCAAAGATAGAAACAGCAGAGAATAACAATCTTGGAGGAGAGCAAGATCAAGTGATTGTTGCTAGGGTTTTATCAAGTTTCAAATCTCAGAAAACAGGAAAACATAGGGATTATAATCATAATCATAATCGTAATCATCATAGAAGATCATCAAGAAATGCAAGAACTTGGAGATCAGATGATACACACAAATATTTTACAACTTTACCCTTGAAAAATCCTTCAGAAATTTCAACTTCACAGCAGAAAAGCACTAGTTTTGTTGATCTTTTACCCCCACCACCTCCAAGAACAATGTCAAAGATCCTGCCTTTAACTTTAAAGACTAGCAGTACAAACTTGAACCTCAACGAAGGTCATCTTGTAAAATCAACAATTTCCACCTCTCAACAACAAGGCGAAACCCAATTCAAGAACTTGTTTTTGGGATCGTCATTAAGCTGTGCTCAAATGGGTATTATGGGTAATTACAGCAGTAATCTTAGAGGGATTGCGCCTGCGGTTCAAATTAGATCAGTAATCCCAGTTTGTGCAGCTCCTCCTGCTAAACCTTTGGTAAAAGAAGATGAATCTGAATCTTCTTCTGCTGCTGTAATTTTGCCTCCTGAATCTTCTGAACAGCTTTCTGCTACCAGTCTCAGTTCTAAAGTAAGCAAGTTACAGCTCAAAGAAGAGTGAGTAATTAGGTAGTTTAATTTAATTGTAGTAACTAGTTAAAAGTAGTATTAGAAATAAGTAAGTAACCTTTCTTCTAGTAGTAGTATCAGTATGTTACAATGTTACATTGACTAGGCTCAAATAGTACGTGTCTACGTGGTATTAACTATTTAACACAGGCACATGTCTAAGTATCGCACTTGGTCATTTTCGGAACATGACATGCTTTATTGCAAAATCAAGCATCTGAGTGTCAATATCTATGTCGGAGTGCCATTGAAGGGTCGTTGCAAAATTTGTTAGTCACGGTAAAAAATTTGTATAACGGTACTAGTAGTGAAATATGTACGAGTACTATTGAAGAGTCGATGTAACATAGTAATCCTTTCTAGTAAACTTTTGCGAAATGGTACTACAATACTAGTAAAGGCATACTTTTGTCTTATTTAATTGTTTATTTTTATGAATAAATGGAATTAAAATGTTTTGGGTGACCGAGAGAAGAGGGCATTGAATGAAAACTGGTTAGTTAAGAGAGAGATGGGAGAGCATTAAATGGAGAATGAGAGAGAAGATGAAAATGGCAATAAAATGGAAGGGTATAGAGTGTGTAGGAGCAGACAATTGCAGTGATAAACGCAATGCATTTACAATTTTTGTTAGTCAGACTCAGACCCAATTTATTTGTGCTTGTCCTTACCATTAATGCTACCCTCAACCTCCCCTACTCCCTACGGAACTGTTAAATTGTAACCAAACTCAACTCGATCTCCAAGTTTTTTTTCACTTGTAACAATTACGATTAGTTTGTTTGGTAAAAGTAGTTGTTTGATCTACTCGTAGTTGTAAGAGTGAATGTGAGAGGTGAGTTGCGAAAGTAGATTTTTGAATTATTGTCTTAGGAAAATGAATGAATTTTGTTCAACCTCAAATTTTATGGAGTACTTCAAATTCTTTGTAATTCTTTTCAAATAGCCTTACTTATTCTTATAAAACTCTAAAATACTTCATTTATTCTTTAATTATTGCAAGAATTGAGATTTCAAGCATAAAAATGCACTATAATATGTCTTCGATTATTTACAAGTTAATTATAAAATTTTGATATTATGAAAGTATACGTTGCGACATATATTGTATAATCACATTATAATTTGTAAATAGTGTTAAACTTAGCTTCAATTGCTGAAATAATGAAAGAACGCAGACAGTAACAATTGTAGGAGAGAAATTTGTGTAAAATAAAATCCACTGCTTGTAATTGTGTACATAGCTGATAGCCTGATAGTTCAGACTCCAAATGATTATGAGCTACTGGGTCAATGAGTATTTTGGGTCGGGACCAATGGATCGCAGGACCGATACTCTGAAATTAAAAGATGGTCCATAAAGGGCTTATTGATGATTGCTTTGGCCCAACGAGCCTTTGTAAGTACCTATTTTTGAATTTTGGCCCATGTAGACTTGGAGAGGGGAGACATGTACTCTATTTTTTTTTTCCTAAGATAAGAAAGACCCTATTGAATTAAGGGTCTGTTTTGATTGACTGAATTTATTGGCAATGAACTGAACTGAATTTATTGGAATTGAACTGAACTGAACTGAATTGAACTGAATATTTTATGAGAGAAGAAAATTAAAAACTGAAGTGAAATGAAAATAATTTGAAGAAAACATGCCCTAATATCTCTCATAGTCTCACAAGTTAAGCCAGCTCAGCTTTGCAGATTAGCTCTTGAAAGTAAAACGAGGAGCTAATGAGAAATCCTGTTATTTCCCAAGCAAATATAGAAGATTATCCTTACATCAATATAAATATAGATACAAGAAAATGTGATGAAGGTAATCAAAACCCAGCAAACTGTTCTACAGCAATAGCAATCAATACTAAAAAGCAAAGGATAATTAATTAATTAATTAATTATACATAATAAACCACCTACAAGCGAAACTGGATCTTAAACGACATCCAAACAGAGGTGAAATGATGCTTCTCAAACCAAAATAAATTCCTATATACACTTCTATATATAGGATAGAACTGAATACTCTAACTAGTAACTATAGAGTATTAACTATTGTGGACATGTCTAATGTCTATTGTGCCGTATCATGCCAAAGTTTGTTGACTAGCTCTACCAAGATGGCAAGATTCATGTTTCAATCAATAACAATCATCATTTTTAAAAAAAGAAACAACATCATCATTTTTATTAAACAATCGCTAGTACATTTTAGCATAGATGGAAAGTAAAGACTTGTATTAGTTGCACAAAAGCTAAGATTTTAACCTATTTGCTTGCCATAGGTCCATAGGAGGAGAATAACTTAACAAAATGTAATAAACATCCACATCGTTATGTAAAAAGTAAAAAAATGGTATATATAGCCTTTAGGACGCATATAAACATTAAAGCATTTTTAAAAATACTCCATAAGTTCATAGTGAGTACAAATTTGAGAATTTATGACAAAAACATGTGTCATTTTTTTTTGAAGCCAAGACGAGAAAATCAGAAAAGCATGTGTTAATCAACCTAGTACATATCGGTTATTATTAATCTTTCCTTTTATAACTATAAGTATTACACTATTACATTTATCATTTTCCTAAAAGTTAAATTGATTTTTTTTAAGGAAAAAAATAATTTGATTACTTACTAAAGGATTATATTTGAAATTAAAGGATTTATGTGGGGAATTTTGTTACTACCATAGTACTATGTCTACAAATTTTGTCTTAAATTACGTATGGAGTAACAGATAAGATAAGAGTTGATAAATGCAATGTATATTATGTCCTATGAAATAATACAGTCATGTTGAAAAAAAAAATATATATTAAAGAGACAGTAGAGAGGGATTAGTGGATGAGGGCAACCAAAATCGGCGTGGTTACACATCAGAGTCTCATGCTCTCCGCGCATCCTGGAACTCTGATTGACCCTTTTTCCCAAACAAATAACAAACCCATGACTTTCCAAGAAATGAAAAAAATTGACAAAATAAAATGTAGAAAAACTAAAATTAAGTCGACAATTTATCCATGTGTTATGTACTAAGAGTACTAATTTTTTGGCTCGAGGATCACGCGGGTTAAATATAAAAAATACACATGATGGGGTGAAGTATTAGCTATTAGCGTACGATTATGGAGTCAAGAATTTTTTTACTAGGGGATAACAATTAAACATCACATAGTTTGACAAATTTTTTTTGTAAAATATTGAACTCGTAGATAGTTTAATAATTGAAAAAAATGACAATGTTTTCGTAATTCTTTTTGATTTCGAGAATTCTATATATTCATTTTTTTTCTCTGGATCATAGGAAAATTTCAACATACATATACCAATTTTTCCTTCCTATGTGGTACATTACTAGTACTTGAACAGTTGAACTACCTATTTCCCCATCATTTTTTTTGAGTTTGGGGCAGTTAAATGAAGGGGCTAAACATGAATTGTAGAATGGAAAATTGGGTACTTTTGCGATCTTGAATATGTTTGAATTAGATAAATTATTCAACATTTCCTAATTGAATTGAATATTATAAATCAATAATAATTTAATCAACAAATCATACATGCAATATAACACACTTAACATGCATGCCTCACATTTAGATTTATTTAAACAATCAACAATAATAATAAAAAAAAAAGGTTTTTTTTTTTATTTTAATTTTTTTAATTAAAATCTAAACAATATTTTTTCTTTATTTTGATTGTTTAATTGCTTAACTTATGGTTAAACATGGGTTAACAAGGAAATGTGATGTCATTGGCCTAAAGTAGAGTCTAGTACGTAGTAATATAGTAATTTCTTTTAAAAAAATGCGATAGTAATTTGCAAGTTTTTTAATTCGCTGGTATTAATTATCAGAGAGGCATTAAAACATAGTAGTTTTGACAAATTTTTCTATAACAAATATTTTTCCCAAAAGATGACCAAAGCCACATGTACCAATTTCTCAAATGCGAGTACAAAGAATATTACTCTATCTATCTCATTTAAAGTGATGGGTGTATGATTTATGTCAATCCTATTTTAATAAAAGGTGGAGTCCAATCCATATAATAATTACATATCCACCCCCATTAAATAGCAATACATAATATATTTGATCTCACGAAATCAAACCACCTCAATTTCTTCTGTTAAATGCCAAAACATTTATTTCAAAATTTGTGAGTTAGGGCAGAATAGAGGAAATTTCATGTACAATAAAAAAATCATTTTACATTGTTTCAGTCTAATGTCTAATAATCCGATTCCAAAGGACTAAAAGCATGTTGTCTTACATGTATTAAATTTAACACAAACATTTACGCTAATCGGTCTCACTCATCACTAAGATGAAATTGAATATGAAAAACTATAATACTACTCCCTCCGTCCTTAAATTACATTCCTCTTTGGAAATTTACACGGGAATTAAGGAGGAAAGAATAAGACAAATAACAATAATTAGATAATGCAATGGGAAGTACAAAAATAAATTAGTTATTACTCATGACATGTCATCAATCATTTGCAAAAAAAGGACCAATCACATGCTCCTAATTGAAAATTTTTAACCAATCATATTCATTGTAATTTGGCACAAGGATTATGAGTGAGATTAGGTAAGGATGAGTGAGAAAACATTAAATATAAAACAGAAAAATAGAGTTGATTTACTAAAAAAAAACTTACAAAAAATAGAAAGGAAGAATGTAATTTTGAAATACCAAAAATAGAAAGGAGGAATGTAATTTAGGGACGGAGGGAGTACAAGATTTATACCCAAATATGAGACAAGTATGTCATTTTACTTACACCTACGTGCAATTTTTGCAAGTGAAGAAGGGAGTAAGAAATTTCAACTTTTATTGACAGGAACTTTCATTAATCTTACAAGCAAAAGAATGTGAAATATATATGCGAATAAAATAAAGTAAGGAAAAAAAAAAAAAAAAAACATAGATTGGACGAAAATTGGGCGTCAAAGGTGTATAGATAATCTTATTATCTATCCTCGTAGGACATGACAAAATCATGATCCATATTTCCTCAACTACCACCCAATTCAAACTTGGGCAGCACATTTCCACCTGTCAATTTCCAATTTATTCACGCACTAATTAAATCCAATTTTGAATAATCTCCAAATCTCACCGTATTAATTTTAATTTATGATTAGCAAATTTAATTTCCCCTTTTAAAACCCAAATAGAATATCCAAAAGAATATGACAAACGGAACATTGAAGAAATAATACCCTTTTAAAGAAGATTCGTTAGGAATATTCTTAGGTTCTTCCCGCTTATGCTTAAACATAACCCGAGTTTTTACTTTTTTTTTCATCAAACTTTTTCTCTCTCCTCTTTTCATATAAAACCCCCCCAAAAATTATGCATTGTTGCAAATTCAATACAATCTCTTCTTTTTACATAAAACCCCGTTTTCTTGGCGAAATCCCCTTT